TTTCGAGGGAGAGAATCGCATCCCGAATATGCTAGCACTGTTGCTTAGAGTGGTCAGAAGACTGCATTTTGTCAGCGACTTCACCATATAAAACTATGTCATCAGCATATTCTAAGTCAACAAGTGAACCTCCTGGTAGAAGTTCAACCATTGTAAATTTAGATGAGGATAGTGTTATCTCTAAAAGTACGTCGACCACAAAGTTAAACAAGAATGGGGAGAGTGGACAGCCCTGACGAACACCACTTGAGGTAATCAATTCTGATGACAGTTCGCCATAAGCTCTCACTCGACCAGTTGTGTTCGAGTAGAGAGCCTTTACAAGGTTACTGTACTTCTTTGGTATTCCTTTCAGTGACAAACACGGCCATAGAACCTCACGATCAACAGAGTCAAATGCCGCCTTAAGGTCGAAAAATACAAAGATTGTGGGGCGTCTGAATGTGTGTCTATGTTCTAGGACCTGACGTAGTGTGAATATCTGGTCTATACAACCACTTCCAGGTCGAATACCAGACTGGTTTCCTCTAGTCTGCTCTTCACGAGCTTAAGTTAGGCGTCGAAGTATTATTGTGGCTAATATTTTTGACACTATATTAGTCAAACTGATTCCTCTGTGATTGTCACAAGAGGACTTTTGTCCTTTCTTATAGACTGGCACAATCAGTGATTGGGACCAGTCATATAGGACTAAGTCCAGTTCCCAAATTCTACCTAAGACCTCAGTTAATCTCGCTGCTAATACTGGACCACCATCCTTAAAAATCTCAGGAGTAAACCTGTCAGGGCCTGCCGCTCTCCGTCGCTTCAGATTTCCTATGGCTTTTTCAACTTTGTAAAGAGTCGGAGGGCCTACATAAACTTGTCATTCGGGTTGACTGGAGATCGTGAGAAACCGAAGTGTGGCTGAAGGCCAGTTGAACTGATCCCTAAAGTGTTCTGCCCATTGATCCAATCTCCTGGATTGAGAATGTATAATATTTCCATCTTTCTCTGAGTTTTCCGCTAACAGTCGGTTTCCTAATACCGGTTTCCTTAACAAGTCTGAACAATTGTCTCCTATTACCTATTGCCGCTGCTTTTTCCACCTCTCTTGCTTTCGCTATCCACCACTGTTCACGATCATTGCGTAGACTTCTTGTCAGCTTGCGCTTAAGCTGACTCCGCTCTTCATTATGTTCAGAGCAAGGTGAAATGAGTTTCCGAGCATCTATCAGTGCGGTAGATGCTGCTGAGATCCAGTGTTGCTACCTAACCTTACGGGTTACTGTACTAGCAGATATCACTGCTGTTTGCACAGCTTTTCGGATATCATCCCATGCTGCATCGGGGTGGGCATCACGTACATGGCTGCCTGTTTTCCTAGTTGTTCCTGAAATATACTCTTAGCTTGACTATCATTAAGTAGGGCCCTAAGAGGTTTACTTGCAGCGTCTTACCTACGTCCAGTAAGACGCAGACAGATACGCGCTCGTACTAGAGCATGATCTGAATCTAAGCATGTGCTCCAGAATGAGCGACAGTCTTCTATCGAGCCCCTCCATCGGTGGCTGATAGCGATGTGATCTATTTGGGTCCAACGTTGGGACGAATTAGGGGGTCTCCATGTTAAAAGATGTTTTTCCTTATGCTTAAAGTTAGTATTTGCAAGAAAGAGGCGGTTATCTGAGCATAGCTGCAACAGACGGTCGCCATTATCTGTTCTTTGAGCCACGACACCATAAGATCCACTTCGGTGTCTTTCCGTTTCGTTTAGTTTGCCTACTTGAGCATTAAAGTCACCGGCCACTATTACTACATCAGAGCGCCTAGCTTTTCCTGAAGGTCGGAAAGTTTTCTGTAAAACTCACCTTTTACATCATCTGAGCTGCAGTCAGTGGGAGAATAGGCAGAGACGACGAAGAGGCAACGACGAGTATCCCTATCTTTTTGGATCCTTGCTGTTCCGTTCAGTCGGATAGCGCACAAACGACTGCCTACTGGGATCCACTCTAAGAGAACTAGTTCTGCCCTAGGACTCAATGCTATACCTACGCCGGCGAGGCCACGGGAAGGAGAATCTGGGCTTCCAGATACACGAAGTGTGAATCGAGTCGGTTCTTTATTTTGGTATGGTGAGGTCAAGTGAATGACGCTACTCGGATCCTTTATGCGCGTTTCGGAGACGCAGCACACATCGATGGCGCGGGATTGTAAAGTCCTAGCTAAGGAATTCTGCTGTCCTATTTGGCACAGTGTTCGAACGTTAAAAGCTCCTACGTGTAGTTTAGAATGTGGTTTCAGGAGACCAGGAATAGCGCTCCGCGCACTCGAATCGTTTTCCCTAGCGGTGCAAGATGATAAAGAGACGTGAGGAGGGTTAGTCATGGAGATAAGAGAGGTATTAGGAGGTGTAGGAAGGATTTGAATGTGACCGACTTGGTCTCGTGCGCTGTTACGGGTATGAGGGCTGATATCACTTCCCGGCTGCCCATACCGTGGAAGGGTATTTCTTGAGGAACCTGAAAAAGAAGTCGGATTAGTGTTGGTTTTAACGACCTGGGAGCGTGACCGCAGAGCCCAAGGGATAACTGCTTGAGACCGGTCGCGCACGGCCTTTTCGTGGGAGGTTTTTAATGTGTTAGCTCCATTCTTGAAAAGGCTTTACCGCCGGAGACAGAAATCCGTGAGGTAAGGTGAGGTGTAACATTTTTAGTGTCGACCCTTTCTAACCCTGCCCCTTCTTGTGGGAAGGCAGCATCGCTGTCATGCTGGTTGTCCGAGGGAAACACCTTACGGTTGTCACACGCCTCTACAGTCAGCAGTACGACTTCGCCCTCAGACCTTGAGTTGCTGCTTTTAGTCTTACCGTTCTCCAATCGACCTGCCTGGCATGGGAGAACCTACAGGAACATACTTTCCAGCCAATATAGCTCGGCTGGGTCATCACGATAGGCAAGCCCGACCACCGCGTCAAGGTAGCAGCTACGGTCGAGCACAAAAGATTTGTAATTATTAATGCTCACACGTAATCAGCGACCCGATTGTAATATGGATACGTATCTATTTCTTAGCTAGATGCATTAATCGTACCAGTAGAAAATAACTATTCATATATGCTTAAGTTTATCGCTTTTGTTTTGTACGTATATGAATACCGGTGAGAACATTAGTCAACTACAACGTAGGACCAGGCACATATATGCATCGGTCCAGGTTGCCATACCGCATCAGCACAAAAAGATGAACACCGGATTCATAGCAGTGGTTAGGTCAAAGGTGGTAATGCATAAAAGAAAGATTGCATATAGAGATATAGTACAAGAAATAAAAGGTTCGTAGAAAGAAAGGTATGAAGCGATTTTAATCTCTTAGTTTAAGGGAAGACAGAGTGTATACACCTACGCCATTGTGATCGATTCGGAGCCATGTCACCCAGAGTCTCCAAACATTCGTTACGATAGTCAGGCGGACTCCAACCAAGTAGTCTGCATCTACCAACATGGCTCAGACTAGAAGTTAGTGACTTCAAGCTCTGATGCCACGTTTTGGTTTGGCCGCCCCTAACTTTCTTCCAACCATTTCCAATACCGGATAGCATTGCACGTCGTGGTATTCGGTGTTCAGGCATACGTAACACCTGGCCCAACCATCTCAGTCGATGAAGATTCATAACCTCATCAACTGATCTACCATCATTCCCTAATACCCTGCGTCTAATCTGACTATTACTTACCCAGTGATCCCAACAGACCCAAGTAATATTTCTAAGGCATCTGTAATCAAATACCTGTAGCTTACGAATATCTTCTGCTCTTAGTGGCCATGTTTTGCAGCCGTAAAGTAGAATAGAACGGACTGCCGCGCAGTATACTCGTCCTTTTATTGATAGACGGATATCTCGCCTTCGCCAAAGGTGACGTAAGTTGGCAAAAGCCAAGCGAGCTTTTCGAATCCGTGCTGAGATTTCGTCAGACACCAACCCATTAGGGCTGATCAGACTTCCAAGTTAAGTAAAGTTGTCAACGCGTTCAACTACTTCACTCCCTATCCTTAGTTCGGGTGTTAACGCAGACCAGTCCTGAAGCAACAACTTGCATTTAGAGGGAGAGAAGTGCATTGTTGCTCAGTGCTACCAGAAGACTCAGCATTTTATCAGCGTCTTCACCAAACAGGACTATGTCATCCGCGTATTCTAAGTCGATAAGTGGACCTGCTGGAAGATCAACACCCGAGAATTCAGTAGACGAGAATGTTATTTCCATCAATAAGTCTATGATGAAATTAGTAGATCTATGATGAAATTCGGTTAGAACATAAATTATGTGGTCACAAATTGAACTTTTAATCTGATCGTTTATCACTAATATGATTAAAACGTTAATTGGTGAGTCGAATTCCACCGAGGTTATAAAGCATTAACGCAATAATCAACGTAAATTCTGGTACCGGTTAATTTAATTATCCAAATTTTTAGTGCTATACTACTTATCAAGTACAAGTGATATATAAACAATACACAGACTTTAAAATTACAACAAACTCTGAGTACAGTTGCTTATCACTTTGTCAATCATGGACTCAACAGAATACTTCAAATACAGACATTTACTTTTCATGAAGTGTTGCGCAGAAAAGAAATCACTATTAGAAAATACTATAATTGAAATAAATGTTGAAAAAATGAAGCAAATTAATTCATTCCAACACAAAATACTTTAGGGTTGAAAAACAGAACAAACCAAAATATGAAGGATACTTTAAAGAGAAGAGAATCAATTATGCAGGATTTTGATGCATGATTATGAAATGCGATAAATGCTATATATATATATATATATATATATATATATATATATATATATATAAATTTGCTGAGATCAGAAGCAATTTGCAACATGTCAAAATAAAACAATGGGAAGGAGAACCAAATTGGTTCACAGTAAATTTGAATCGGAAGTAACGTAGAGAATGTGAACAACATAATTTCAATGTTTCGAACGGTGGCTGTGTGAAGCTACTCAGTGAGTATAGAAAATACGGTAATACAGCCACTTAGAACGCCAGAGAGAAAATGAATTGTCGAATTTGAATACATACACACCAACACCTGGATACTGATGGCTACCACAATAAACTTCTGTATGACAATCCCTTCTATAGATTGGTATAAGTTCGTCAGTAGGTAAACGCTGTTGTAATGACTTTTTGCCTAATTCCAAATCATGAGATTCTGAATACAAGTAAAAAGTAAATTATTACAGGCAGTGAAAAATGTGTAAGAATGTTTTTTTCTCATTTACGTTTAACATATACCTTGCACACTTATTCTGGACTTCATCGATTTAAGTCAGGTCCCAGTGTAGTATCATCTTTTAGATTATACATCAGACTTACTGAGATTTGTAGACTACACTAATTACAGAAATTAAGAATTACACTACGAACTATATTTTCCGAACAAATAGTGGTAGTACATCGATTTCAACTCTGCACATTCATTCAGTGCAAAACATTTTCTGGCTCCGCATCTATTCAGAAGAGAATACTAAGACGGAACTATTCACCTATGAATAACAATTTTAATTGGAGTACTTTGACTGGTACTGCTGTTTTACCTAACCTCCAATGTGTTCTGTACTTTAGAGTCTCATTGTCAAATTTCGACACAAACCAAGGAACACAAAAACACCTAATAATCCTGTAGAGCTGGAAAGTTTACAAATTAAATCGGAAATAGTAGCACATGTTATGTCCAGTAACCAAGTCGATATTAAAAATATCAAAACAATTCAACGGTTTTTCCAACTATAAAGAAAAGCGATTAGCTAAAGCGTTTCATGTAAAGCTAAAAAAAGCCGAACTATATATCCAACTTGGACTGTTTATCCAAACAACCACATTTACCTCTGTTCGTTCCTCATACATACGCTCAAATTCTAACTACGCTTCTTCATACAACAAATCATACGTTTCTCATACCCATCATCAAACACACAATGATGTCTCATACAGAATCACATTGACCAGAAAGTTCACATGACACTGAAATAATCAAACCTAATCTAATTTTGATTAGACTAAATACTCTGCCTTGTTCCTTTATAATATATAAACTTATGTTAAATCGATTATTCATCTACGTACTCTGAAGAAGTGGCCTACATTAATTCACGAAAGGTCAGAAATCCAAATTTCTACGCCACAAATATATCATTATGATTAACCTCCTATCCAATCCTCGATTTATTTGAAATGAACAAGTCAAACCTTTGTATGAATACCTATAATATTAGTAGAGGTTATTAGTGAAATGATTAGTAACTTACATGGAAGCTCTGCAGTATTAAATCTAACTATTTCAAAAACCTATCAAAAAAACTATCGAATTTTTTGTTCAGCTATCACTTCATATTCTAAGTGGTCAAAACTACGCTTTAAAATAGTGGCTTCGTCTGATTACTGGTCGCTCAAAAACGACGAACGAGATATGCATCCGAAAAAAGTATGTTCACGCACTTGTCATAATTCACATATTACTACTGAAATATTAGTGACATGGCATGTAGTACCAATGATTTTTAGATAGAGAAAAGGAACAGCGTCGAATTACTCGCGTGGAGGAGCATAGGCCACCCACAAGCAATCTCTATTTAACTCCATCCTGAGCAAACATTATCAGTTGCTATTCATCTTTTCGATGTCTGTCTACAATTCCGAAATTAGAGTGTTCTTTGGTCTTCCTCTTTTCCGTTTCCCTCCAGTATTCCGAGTTAGGGCTTGCCTTGCGATGCAGTTTGACGATTTGCGTAATGTATGTCCTATCCACTTAAAACTTCTCCTGATTTCCTCTTCATCTGGAACTTGGTTTGTCCTCTCCCACAGTAGGCTGCTGCTGCTGCTGGTATCCGGCCAACGGATATTGAGTCTCTTGCGTAGACAACTGTTTGTAAACACTTACACCTTCTTGGTAACAATTGTGGGAGTTCTCGAAGTTTCAGCTCTGTACATTAGAACTTTCTTGATGTTCGTATTGAAGATTTTGATATTGGTTGACAGTTGTTTTGGGTTCCATATGTTCTTCCACTGTAGGAATACTGTCCTTACTTTGCCAATCCTTGCCTTTACATCTGCATCAGATACTCCACGTTTATCGATGGCGCTTCCAGTGTACGTGAAAGATGCCACATCTTCCGATCAAGTGTGATTGGGTTGGTGTTCTCTGTGTTGTATTTGAGAATCTTGCTTTTTCCTTTGTGTACACTGATGCAGAAACTGCTGCCACAATACTTGTCTTCATCTGCGTTTGTTATTGTGTATGGAATAGAAGGGCCAGATTATCTGCGAAATCCAAATCTTCTAATTGATTCCGATCTGTCCATTGTATTCCGTGTTCCCTCTCAGACGACAAGGTCTTCATAATCCAGTCAACCACCAGAAGAAACAGAAAGGGAGGGAGTAAGCAGTCTTGTCTGACTCTGGTCTTCACTTGGAATGTATCTTTCAGCTGTCTTCCATGGACTAATTTGCACTATAGTCCGTCGTATGAATTCCGGATCATGTTGACAATCTTCTCATGAACTCCATAGTGTCGAAAACGTTTCCATTATGTTCTCCTGTCCACCCTGTCAAACGCCTTCTTATAATCAATGAAGTTGACGTAAAGTGACGGATTCCATTCGATTGATTGTTCAACGATGATCAGTAGTGTTGCGATTCGGTTTCTGCACGACTGATCCGTACGGAATCCAGCCTGTCGATCTCGAAGTTGGGTGTCTACTGAGTCTTTCATTTGGTTCAGCAACACCCTGTTAGAAACCTTTCCTGGTACTGACAGTAGTGTGATGCCTCTGTAGTTCTCACCGTTGCACCGATTCATGCATTGCGTTTAATCTTTCGCAGTAGATGCATATAACATTTCGTGTATGAAGGCGACTATACTGATGACAATTTATTTCGTTAATGCAGATAAGTTAACTACAAGATTATTGGGTGCGATATTTTTTATTCATATCTGGGTTTATGATACTTTCAATTTGTGCACTGCTATTCTCACACATTCCAATAACCTAGTTATTAACTTGGGTTTATTATATGTTAATATACCTCAAAGTCCCATACTAGGATGAAGCGGTCGTCCAGTGCTTCCAGATTTTCCATGGTGGTCTAGCTTTAGTTGATTCATGAATTCAACTATTAAATAATTCTATTAGTTCACTAGGCCACCATAACTTATGTACCAAGGTTATTTTAAGTGATACTGAATAGCACCGACTACTGGGGACTATTTCATCACATTTCTTGACATTGAAACATTTTTACTTATAAATATTTATATGATTTCTTATTTTGGAGTCGTCGAGCGGAAACTTCTGAGTCAACTTTCTAAATTAGTTTATTACCATCATATCTGGGTCATCATCTAGTGTTATCTTGAAGCTTTGATTGATATCTCCGTAGCCGGTGTTGTCCATCCCATCTTGAATGATAGTATTTGAATTAAAAATGGATTGTATTTGTAAAGCAGCTTACATTTTATTAGTATATGATGAATCATAGTTGATAAGAAGCAAATGAGACGGTTCATAAGTTACAGTAAGTACACAACATATCTTTTAACAACCTCGTGCTGTTTATTATTTGCACAATCAAACGATATTACATTTGCTACATGACTAAATATGGGCCGTTACCTGAAGAAAAATTAACAAAACGACTTATTCGCTTAATGAATACCGATTAATTATACACTGAAAAAATCAATATAAACATGTATGATAATCCAATTACGGAATTCAATGTTATGCATAGAAACATAATCTAAATATGGACACTGGTATTCTCACAATCAAAGCTAATTTCCTACCCTTATTTTCGTTTTCAGGCGACGTTTGTTCCGTAGAATTCCCATTACTAGGTCCTTCTTCATCCTCATCTTCACCGCCTTCTTCATCACTTGACTCCGAAATATTAACAGAAATATTTTCAGGCGGTTCCAAATCCCATTCAAAATACAATCCAAAACCTAAGTCATAATTGTCTGTAGCAAATTCCCAACATATTGCTTTCCCATTAGGATGAGTTGGAACACGTACCTAGAAACGAGAATATAAATAATTATAATACAATATTATCGAACCGCTATCAATGTGAACTATAACATGTACAAAAACTTGGATAGTTACAGTTAGTAAGGATTCGTAATACAGAAGAAATATCAGTTCAAAAATGAAGAATATTTGGGCGAACAAGTATTTTCAATAACTTCACCATCAGGCTCTACAGTTATAAGTCCACAATTATCGTGATATTTTAGAAACGTCAAAATAAGACATGTATTAATGAATTTGACATTATATATTAAAAATAGTGAACGTTTGCATCTGTTACGACATATACACCTCAAAATTGTGTTATTTATAAATTAGAAAGGTCATTTAATAAAGGTTGTAGAAGACGACGCTCAGTCTGGCTGCATTAAATTTTTTTGTACTGCATTTCGTAACCTATGAGTCACGATTTCTTCAGTAGTATCATTTGAGAATTGTAATTTTAAGAACAATACTTTCTTCGAAACGGTAAATAAATTTCGCTGGGTACCAATTCCTACTAAGCAAGTTACGAATTCATCTACAAGAATGTCATCCGAGCAAATCATTCTAGCACGATGAGTCAGGAACTTTATCAATTTTTTTTGTATTAGATTGGTACTGCACTATAGAAATGTGTGTATTGTCCAGTTGTAGACTTTCTGTGTAACCCTCTTCTTAATGTTCCATCTGTTTGTCTAGTTAGTTGGAAATCGAGAAACGACACGCTATTGTTCTTTTCTTTCTCCAGTGTAAAATTAATTGATGAATGAATGTTATCAAATATATTAAATAAATTCTCCTTTTCATGCTCTTTTTTCTATACTATGAAAGTATTATCCATATAGTGACAATAAGATGTTAAATGTTGATCGATTTAGTAACTCCAATCATACTGGTGACTCCGCCTGTAGCTCTTCTAGAGTTACTGCTGGTCCCAAGCACGGGTAAAGGAGGAGGGTTGGGCATAGGGTTAGCGAACCCATCCGTAGAAAACTAACTCGCTAAAAAAACGCTAACCAGAAAAAATAATCCAAACCATTTCAACTCTGCTCTGGGAGTTAGGTCTTCATTTAGAAGAAATATGACGCCTCATGGTGAAAGCGAGTTCCTTCGGAAGCCACGAGGCCGATGCCCCTTCTAACAACCAGAGCAACAATTTTTATAGGTACATGGAACGTCCGAACAATGTGGAAGATCGGGAAGACCAGCCAAATAGCAACTGAAATGAGGAGATACAACTTGGCAGTACTGGGAATCAGCGAAACCCATTGGACCCAAGCTGAAAAACAAAGGCTAAATATGGGAGAGATTCTGTTATACTCCTGCCACGAAGAGGTAAATGCTCCACACACTCAGAGAGTTGCTCTAATGCTGTCCAAAGTAGCACGAAATTCACTTGCAGGATGGGAATCTCACGGATCCAGAATCATCAAAGCATCATTCAAAACAAAGAAGGAGGGGATCACAATGAATATTATCCAATGTTATGCACCCACCAATGATAGCAACGACGACATTAAAGATCAATTCTACGAGCGGCTGCAGTCAACCATAGAGAAGTGCCCAAGAACGGATCTCACCATTCTGATGGGAGATCTAAATGCCAAAGTCGGAGTAGACAACACCGGATATAAAGATATCATGGGACGACATGGATTGACTGTGAGAGAGAAACGAAAATGGGAAGAGATTTGCAAATCTGTGTGCATTCAGCAAATTGGTCATAGAAGGCACAATATTTCCACACAAACGTATACACAAAGCTACATGGATATCACCAGACCACACCACAGAGAACCAGAAAGATCATATTTGCATCAATAAAAAGTTCCGAAGGACAATGGAAGATGTGAGAAGCAGTAGAGGAGCTGACATAGCTTCAGATCACCACCTAGTTGTGGCTAATTTAAAACTGAAGCTAAAGAAAAACTGGACAAACAGCACTACAAAGGTTCAATACGGCCTTCCTTCGAGATACTGACAGACTCAATGAATTCAAGATAGCTCTCAACAACAGGTTCCAAGCCTTACAGGATCTACTGAAGGAAGAAGAAACTACTATGGAGGACAACTGGAAAGGTATCAAAGAAGCACTAACGTCAACGTGTCAAGAGGTTCTTAGCCTCAAGAAGCATCATTATAAGGAATGGACCTCTATAGGAACACTGGACAGGATTCAAGACAGGTAGAACAAGAAGACATCAATCAACAACAGTCGAACAAGAGCACAGAAATTCAAAGCACGAGTTGAATACACTGAAGCAATCAAGCGAGTGAAGAGGAGCGTTAGAGCCGACAAGCAGAAATACGTGGAAGAACTAGCAACGACGGCGAAAAAAGCTTCAAGAGAAGGAAATATGAGAAAGTTGTGTGATACACCGAAGAAACCAGCAGGGAAATATTGTAAACCAAAGGGACCAGTCAAGGACAAAGAAGGCAAGACATTCACCGAGACTTAAGAACAAAGGAACAGACGGGTAGAATACATCGAGGAACTCTTGAATAAACCTTCCTCATTGAATCCACTGGACATTGAAGCAGCACACTTAGATCCTCCTATAGATTTCTCTCCACCAATGACGGGGAAAATCAGAATGGCCATCAGACAAATCAAGAGCGGGAAAGCAACAGGACCAGACAATATACCAGCTGAAGCACTGAAGTCAGACATCGAAGTAACTACAAACATGCTTCACATTCTATTCAAAAAGATTTGGGAGGAAGAACAAATGCCGACGGACTGGAAAGAAGGATACCTCATCAAGATTGCAAAGAAAAGAGATCTAAGCAAACGTGAAAACTACAGAGGCATCACACTGCTGTCAGTACCAGGAAAGGTTTCTAACAGGGTGTTGCTAAACCAAATGAAAGACTCAGTAGACACCCAACTTCGAGATCAACAAGCTGGATTCCTTAAGGATCGATTGTGCACAGGCCAAATCACGACACTACGGATCATCGTCGAACAATCAGTTGAGTGGAACTCGTCACTGTACATCAACTTCATTGATTATAAAAAGACATTTGACAGTGTAGATAGGACGTTATGGAAACTTCTTCGACACTACGGAGTTTATGAGATTGTCAGCATGATCCGGACTACAGTGCAAGGTCGTGCATGGAAGACAGCTGACAGATGCATTCCAAGTAAGGACCGGAGTCAGATAAGACTGTCTACTCTCTCCCTTTCTCTTTCTTCTGGTGGTCGACTGGATGATGAAGACCACGACACCTGAGAGGGAACATGGGATACAATGGACAGATTGGAATCAATGAGAAAATGTTTACTTCGCAGATGATCTGGCTTTTTTATCCCATACACAATAACAAATGCAGATGAAGACAAGTAGTGAAGCAGCAGTCTCTGCATCAGTAGGATTCAATATACACAAGGGGAAAACCAAGGTCTTCAAATTCAAAACAAAGAACAGCAATCCAATCACTCTTGATGGCGAAACTCTGGAAGATGTAGAATCCTTCACATAACTGGGAAGCATCATCGATGAACAAGGAGGTTCAGATGCAGACGTAAAGGCAAGGATTGGCAAAGCAAGGGCTGCATTCCTACAATTGAAGAACATATGGAACCCAAAACAACTGTCAACCAATATCAAAATCTTCAATACGAACATCAAGAAAGTTCTAATGTACGGAGCTGAAACTTCGAGAACTCCCACAATTGTTACCAAGAAGGTTCAGGTATTTATAACTAGCTGTCTACGCACGATACTTAACATCCATTGGCCGGATACCAGTAACAGCCTTTTGTGGGAGAGAACAAACCAGCTTCCAGCTGAAGAGCAAATTAGGAAAAGACGAAGGAAATGGATAGGATATACATTACGCAAATCGTCAAACTGCATCACGAGGCAAGCCCTAACTCGGAATACTGGAGGGAAACGGAAAAGAGGAAGGCCAAAGAACACATTAGGTCGAGAAATAGAAGCAGATATGAAAAGGATCAATAGGAACTGGAAGGAGCTGGAAAGGATTGCCCAGGACAGGGTTGGATGGAGAGTGTTGGTGAGCGGCTTATTCTCCTTCACGAGGAGTAACAGGCGTAAGTAAGTAGGTAAGTAATCATGCTGGTACATGTTTGCGATATTATTATCACTACGATTGATATTCTTATCATTACCTCAATTAACAAGATGAAATTCTCTTACTAGGCATTTTATTTACACGATTTTCGTTTCATTTTTGCTATATTACTGTTATACTGATTGGGACTTGACACTATTATGAATCATTTGCCTTTTATTAAATGACCCTTCTAATTTATAAATAACACAATTTTGAGGTGTATATGTCGTAACAGATGCAAACGTTCACTATTTTTAATATATAATGTCAAATTCGTTAATACATGTCTTATTTTGACGTTTCTAAAATATCACGATAATTGTGGACTTATAACTGTAGAGCCTGATGGTGAAGTTATTGAAAATACTTGTTCGCTCAAATATTCTTCATTTTTGAATATTCTATTGGGATTCTTAAACCGCTGAAATATTGGTTCATTAATTCATTGATGTGACCACAGGTGACCTCAGAAATATAATGCGTATTGCATACATTTAGATCAATGTGGTTTAATCGTAACGTAATTCGTCTATACTACTTTATTAACAATTTAAGAAAACGATCCAACATTCAAGTGCCTTTGTGCAAAAGTGAACATGACCGCCATAGATTATTTGATACAATTACTACTTAGTTATACTCAAGATAAATGTCATTTTGTTGCCATTAGGACCACCATATAAATACTAGTAGTTAAGACATTCCAGGTGTAGAATATCAATCTTGAAGATAAATTTATTGTCTTTGGATGTAATATGATAGAATCTCGTTAACGAAAATACGCTCTGAAAAGATAGTCATGTAACGTCAATCTGTATCCGGGCTGAATACTTTTGGCTCATATTGTGAGATAAATTAAAGAAAACCGGTGTACCAAAAATCAATAGTGAAAAAAGCAACCAAGATATATTATATATTCGTTAATTCCATTTTAACAGCATGTCCTAAAACCGCTAATGGAATACCTAAGACTATTCTCCATATTTATATGAGATCCTAGAATTTGGCGGAGTTGTCAATATGCATTATTCATATCACTGTTAATATAGTTACTTTTTCATAATTTCAGAAGCCTCAAGTCACTGATGACAACACATACAAACATATGGATGTCCGGTATGGTAAACATATAGAGCTTAAACTAAGATAATCTTTTTTTCTTCATTTCTGAGTTTAAAAGTCCAAGTTAAAGTCTCCTTTTTTCAATTTACCCAACGATAACTGTTGGTATAAAGGGTGGATAGATGCCTTGATGTTTTAAAATATTCATTCAGGTCATAAAGTGAAGTGGTTCAGTTTTAAAAATCGAGTGAAATCCGTAATAGCTATACGAAAAATTCGACTAGAAGATTAGCGCCTAGTTTATTCATAGAATTTATACATTAAACAATCAAGTTTATTTCTCTAACAAATTATTAAGTATAACATTTACGTATCACAAAGTATCGAGCTCAAATCATCATAGAATGACCAGCTAAGTAATGAAATCAATAAGAAAATATACAGTGAGACTTACTGTTGCAGTTGCTAAAGAATTTATCTTTATACAACATTCCTTCTGTACATCGAGAATTTCTCGTTTGAACTCTGCAATATCTTTACGAGTCCATATTGTTGCAGGAATGAGAGGTAATGGTTCTAGAAAATCTTCAGATATATAAACAAAAGGATTTTTTTACAAAAACTGGCGTTTAGTCACCCTGATGCACTGATTTACTTTTGTGTTTACCTATATTAATTCGTCATTTTGAACAACAAACTTTTAGCTACCATACACCTATCCAAAAAGTCTATGTGAACCCTTATCGTAGAATGAGAAGAAATTAAGCAGTATAGCAAACAGGTTTAAAGTCTGGATCGATAATTATTTCCATAGACTGAAAGTTGCAGGGCGATAATCAGTGATCTAGATTTATTATTATTAGTCTTTGCCTTTATACTTAACTATTTAATCATTACTCATTGAATTACTCACAATCATGTTAGTAGTTTACTTTTTTTGTAAAGAAATATCAGTGTTTTGCTTTATTCGGTCAAGGAATAGGCCTTTTCAATGTTCACTCGGTTATGAGTTGAGGAATTGCTTTGTCACCATCTAATTCGGAAATATATGACTAATGATCAATAACAAACTAAAATATAACCATTTTACGAAGCAATAGTGTTCTTTACTGTCTCACATCAACTCGGCACCCAAATACTGTGAAACAATTCGATCAAATTTAGACGAAAGTTCTTATAGTCTTCAGTTAGTCCGTCAGTCAGTCAGTCAGATACAACGTAGGACCAGGCACATATATGCATCGGTCCAGGTTGCCATACCGCTCTTATAGTCTTCTGTTACGTTAAATTAATCTAGTGCAATTAAGAAATGATGGATTACAAAAACATCAATCCAACGAATAAATTTGAAAATGAAATTATCCTGGATATACTATTTACATTAAGTAAAGACGTTGTCGAAAGTTGATTAGGATTGAGAATCGGCTTCGTTTCAGTTTTATGTTGGTTTTCCCTACAGACATCAATGAAAGCTTCAAGATAACGCTAGATGATGACCCAGATATGATGGTAATAAACTAATTTAGAAAGTTGACTCAGAAGTTTCCGCTCGACGACTCCAAAATAAGAAATCATATAAATATTTATAAGTAAAAATGTTTCAATGTCAAGAAATGTGATGAAATAGTCCCCAGTAGTCGGTGCTATTCAGTATCACTTAAAATAACCTTGGTACATAAGTTATGGTGGCCTAGTGAACTAATAGAATTATTTAATAGTTGAATTCATGAATCAACTAAAGCTAGACCACCATGGAAAATCTGGAAGCACTGGACGACCGCTTCATCCTAGTATGGGACTTTGAGGTATATTAACATATAATAAACCCAAGTTAATAACTAGGTTATTGGAATGTGTGAGAATAGCAGTGCACAAATTGAAAGTATCATAAACCCAGATATGAATAAAAAATATCGCACCCAATAATCTTGTAGTTAACTTATCTGCATTAACGAAATAAATTGTCATCAGTATAGTCGCCTTCATACACGAAATGTTATATGCATCTACTGCGAAAGATTAAACGCAATGCATGAATCGGTGCAACGGTGAGAACTACAGAGGCATCACACTACTGTCAGTACCAGGAAAGGTTTTTAACAGGGTGCGATATCGATAGTTCCTGGGTTGGAATCGCGCGGGCGAGATCGTGGATGCGCACTGCTGAGGAGTCCCTTACTAGGATGAAACGGTCGTCCAGTGCTTCCAGGTTTTCCATGGTGGTCTAGCATTAATTAAATCATGAATTCAGCTATTAAATTACTAAAATCTTCACAAAAGACACTTCTGATAATAATAGAATTACATAAAATGAATTTTCAAACTGATAATCCGTTTATTTGACTTAACCGGGTGAGTGCAAACATTTACAATAGGAAATGAGAGTTTTTATTTATACACTAAACATCTAAATAAAGTAGTAGAACTGAGTTACTTGTCAGTCAACAACCTAATTATTAAAATAAAAGTGGTCATTCAATGTTCCCCATCATAACACCATGATCATCGTTACACGGGAAAACCAGCAAAGCAATAAGTAGGACAGCTTAGGTGAAAGTCATAACTAAAAATGGGAGAGTAGATTTATACAGAAAATATTGTAAACTACATTTGAAAAGTGTTGAAAAAAGAACAGTGAACTTTTCAATTTTAACGAACGAGTAATATACTCAATTAATGAGTGAACAAAACTGAATCTGATCATCAGTCGTATACAACGTAGGACCAGGTACATAAAAGCACGCCCTGTGTTCTGAAATCAAATGAATGGTAAATATTTGGTCAATGTAACCACGACCAGGCCTGAAGTCAGACTGATTTTCCCGTGTTTGTAGTTCACAAGTCTTTGTTGGGCACTCGATAATTATTGAGGCTAGTACTTTAGATCTTATGTTATTTATTTATATATTCGAACACATAAATATTGGTACAAGAGAGCGCCAATATATATGCGCCACAGAAAACAATGAGAACTTAAAGAGAAGAAAAAGGAAAAAAATTAAGGACGGTAAAAAAAGAGAACAATAACGAAGAGATTGGTGTAAGGTAGTGTAATAATAATAATAGTAATAATGGGGGAACGGAAAGGTACAATCAGAAGAAATCTTTCAGTTAAGGAAGATACAACCGCCTTTTACGAATAAAGTAAAAGGTTACATCAGGATCGCCACTGACTTCTATTCTGAGCCATATCTGATAACGTCTCTAGCCACTGTGTCGCACCATCTCTCGGACTCCAGCCAGGGAGTCGTGAAGGACCAACAGAAGCCAGTCCTTTGCAGCTTTCTTTCAGACCCCGACACTATGTCATACACTGACCACCTCTCCGCTTCTTCCAACCAGTCCCAGAGTCGGCAAATAATGCACGACGTGGAATTCTCTGGGACGACATTTGTAAAACATGTCCAAGCCACCGAAGTTGGTTTTTCAAGATGGTGACACCAATCGAATTATCATCTCTGTGCCCGAACACACGATGCCGAACCTCTGCATTACTAACATGGTGTTGCCACTGGATGTCAGCAATCCTTCAGAAACAACGATGATCGAACACAGAGGGTCGTCTAACATCCTCAACTCGGAGAGGCCAGGTTTCACAAGCATGGAGCAGAACTGCTCTCACCGACGCGTTGTAAATCCGGCCTTTTACAGCCAGACTGACATCACGAAGGCGCCGAAGATGGCCCAGATTGGCATAAGCCGCTCTGGCTTTCACTATACGTGCATTGATCTCACCACTCACACCCCCACAAGCACTTATGCAGCCACCCAGATACACGAACTTCTCAACTACGTCTATCTGCTCACCATCCAGGGTGAGTACAGGATTGGAATCCTGCCAGTCTTGTAGAAGTACTTTGCACTTCGAAGGTGCAAAGCACATACCATACCTACGGACACTGGTTGCCAACTGATTAAGTGCGGATTGCATGGCTTGGGTATTATCGCACAGTAAGACAATATCGTCCGCATACTCAAGGTCGAGAAGTCTGTCTGCAGGCAACAGATCCACATCGCCAATACTTACATCCATCAGAGCTGTTTCCAGAATGTCATCGATGGCAAAGTTGAAGAGGAATGGTGAGATTGAGCAACCCTGTCTAACCCCACTGCTCGAATAGAACAATGGAGAGAGGTGGTTGTATGCCCTCACTCTGCCTAAGGTGTTTGTATATAGGGCTTTTAGGATGTTAATAAACTTCTCAGGCACACCCTTCTTCAATAGACAATCCCAGAGAACAGTCCTATCCAACGAATCGAAGGCAACCCTGATATCAAGAAACACTACGATTGTTGGCCTTTGATAAGTATGACGGTGTTCTAACATTTGGCTAAGGGTGAATATATGATCAATACATCCTCGACCAGAACGAAACCCAGCCTGCTCCTCGCGAGTCAATCTTTCTCAGGTTTTGAACAACCTACGAAGTATGACGGAAGCCAATAGCTTGGACGCAATCGGAAGTAGACTTATCCCCCGATAGTTGTTACAGGAACAACGTGAACCCTTTTTAAAGATAGGGACAACTATCGACTCATTCCATGACGTTGGTACACTCTCTAGCTCCCAGAACTTTGTAAACAACGTCGTCAGTTCCTTAGTCAGAAAGTCACCACCATATATAAAAAAAGCCGGAGGTAAGTCATCTGGGCCAGGTGATTTGTAACGCTTCAAGAGTTGGAGTTCCTTGCGGACTTCCGCCTCATTTGGTGGATCAGTCATCACCGGCCATGGAGGACAGGACAGTCTGACCGATGTTGCCGGAGCAGCAGGCTAGTTAAACTGCCCTTCGAAAAATTCTGCCCATCGTCCAAGACGTCGACGGATGTTAGTGATTGACATCCCGTCATCCTCGCAGATTGTTTCGCTCACACCAGACTTCTCGCTGCCACTGGCTCGGATGAGTTGGAAGAGCTTCTGGTAATTACCAGATTCAGCTGCCGCTTCCAGCTCATTAGCACGCTTCGACCACTAGGCTTCTCAGTCCTTACACAAGCTTTGCCCCATTTCCTTACGTAACAGTCGTAGCTTGTGGTCAATCTCACGGTCACCCACAGTAGACCGACGGGCTTCGATGAGTTGTAAGGAGCTTGAAGAAACTCGGTGTTTATAAGCGGGACGTTTCGCGAAGCCGCAGGCGGCTTTACTCGCCATTTTCATGGCGTCATGAAGTTGCGACCAATGCTCATCTATACTTTTTGGTCGAATGGTAGCTAGCTAGCCTAGAAGCTATCTGGGTTCGATACTTAATTGCAACAGAAGTTGCAACCAGCTTGCTAACATCAATCCGTTCGTGGTGGTCACTTCGTTGGCCACTGAAAAGTAAGGTAAGATTGGCACAGACCAAGGCATGGTCAGAGTCCAGATAGGTACTCCAAAAGGAGCGGCAGTCTTGTGCACAACCACGCCAGCGGTAGCTGACCGCGATGTGATCAATCTGAGTTCAGGCTTGGGATGCAGAGGGAGGACGCCAGGTGGCACATCGGCGATGACCGTGCCGAAAGTTAGTGCTAGCCAGAAACAGGTTGTGGTCTGTGCACAGTTGCAGTAGACGGTCCCCGTTATCTGACCTGCGACCAACGAG